GAACTGTGTGTTCGGGAATTATCGCTCATGCAAACGGAGATAGTCATCAATCATAAGTGCTCCTTTGTGTCTGCAGCAACTTCTCACAGAGAAAAGAAGTGTTTCTGGGTCCTGAGAAATTTGCTGTCAGAAATACTACACAGAACTCCTCTCTTTTTTTAATTTCCTGCTAGCCCCTGAAAGGAGAAATGAAGTAGACGGATGCTTTTTTCCTATGCTGTGATCTGAAAAGAGACAGGAACAATCGGCAATATTGCTGTTTAAGTCAAAACTCTGGAAATGACATTAGTCATTGTTTTTATTTAGTACTGATAATAATAGTAAAATGAGCATAATACTTTACAAATGTATATGCATATATGAGTATAGGATTGTATATTATATAATTTGATTTATATGAAAACTTTATCATATTTAATTGTGATTCAGAAGACAGCAAGGTACTTGCGACAGGAACCCAGGGCTCTTGTGTATAGATCTTACATTATTTCCATATTATATTTTCTCATTTAATTTACAGTAAAAAAAATCAGAGATTCAGTTGAAATTTCAAACAAGGATTTGAAGGATCTGAATAAAACTTTATTTGTATGTATGTATACATACACACACACACGCATATATTACAAAAGAATTGTTTTTAGATCAAATAATTAAGATTTTGGTTTACCCAGTTAAAAATATACTTTTATTATTCAATATAGAACTACTTTCAATTTTTATTTTCCATATTTATATTGTCAACTTTGAGAAATGTACAACAATTTTAATCCCCTATCAGCATAAACCAGATAGGAGACTGAAGTTCAGCTATAAGTTACTTTGTAAATGTTCTTAAATCCTTCCCATATGCTTCATTCTTTATTTCAAAGAGTATGTAAATGTCTTCATGATGAGAACCATATTTTCTTTTTTTGAGATACCTCATAATACTAGTTTGAGAAATGAAGACAATTAGATCTCAGTAAAATGTTACTGCCTGAATCTAATTGTGTAGATTTTCTTTTTGTAAGGAAGATTGACCCTGAGCTAACATTTGTTGCTAATCCTCCTCTTTTTTCTTGAGGAAGATTGTCACCGAGCTAACATCTGTGCCAATCTTCCTCTATTTTATGTGGGATGCTGCCACAGCATGTCTTGACAAGAATTGCTAGGTTCACACCCAGGATACGAACTGGTGAACCCCAGGTCACCGAAGCAGAGCACATAAACTTAATCATTGTGCCACCAGGCTGGCCCCTAATTGTGTAGATTTTTAATATCCCACAGACACTTCAGTTAACTGTCTCCATGTTCTCTTCATACTTTAAACTACGAAGTCAAAGAGCCAAGCTGAAGAGCCTTTTAATAGTGGTCTGACAATAAATAGGAATGATGTTTACATTTGCACCATTCAGAACATGTCAAGCCTCAACTGATGAGTACTAAGTACATTTGCATCTTCCAGTATTTGTATGGGAAACATTATGTGAACACCAAGTTCTACAGGTCTTTAAGACAGGGTTATCCAATAGTTAAAAGCATGATATTCAGAGTTAGGGAAACCTATATTCATATATTCATATTCAAGCTCTCCTATGTGAACTTCAGCAATTTACTTCAATCATTTAATCCTCAGTCTCTTCTTCCATAGAATGGGAACAGCAAAAGCACCTACCTCATTGGATGTGTTTAGTAAGGATTATAAGTCAATGTATGCACAACACTTTGACCAGTGTCTGCACATGGTTGCTCTTCATTTGATAGTACTTAGCAATCATAGTTTTATCACATTATTGTTTCCTTTGATATTATTTAATTTTGCCCACTATTCACTCATTTAACAAATATTTATTGAGCTCCAACTATGTAAGAAGCACTGTCCTAGGTGTTAGTTGCACAAAAGCACACATCTCTGCTCTCACGGATTTTACAGTTACTTTATTTGTACTATTACTCATAATTCTGCATTATGCATTCTTTAGCATATTTTCTATTGTATTACTGTATTAATGCCATTATTCAAATAACCTCATAAATAAATGTAAAATTTTGACAGATAAATGGTTCAAGAACAGTAAGTTCATGCTACAAAGACCTCGTTGTTTTTCCATACTGAAGAATAGACCTGCTACAAAACTATCATCCACAGTCTCAAGGTTAGAGAGAATTGAAAGGATGCCCAATTAAACAAATGTGTGTTTGTATGTCATTTATTCTCTTCAACGATTCTCTCCTGTACATTTTCCCTCATTTAGCCTCAAGTTCATTCTCTCAACTTCTTGTCACTTTCTCAACTTACTATGATGTAAGATAAATAATTATGACCAAAAATAAGGGTAGGATATAAATGAGGAAACAATATAGTAAAATCTTGTTAATCCAATGCTAGTTCATTCAAAATAACATTCAAATCAAATCAACAGTTATTCCCCAGTCAAATAGATATGGTTTTCTCATTAAAATTGTTCATTTAATACAAAGCATGCATTATGAATTATTTAAGGCAGAAATGAGGTCCCAATAGTACCTTGCATTATTAAAGAAGTAGAAAAATTGCAAGGGATGCCAGAAAACAGCTGTATATCAGCTACACTGAAACTGTATTTATGGACCAGCATGATTACTTGAGGCTGTAGGATTTGGTACATAAGATCATCTTTTTTTCACCTCTTCTCCTTAAAGCAAATATTCAGGACCATTTCTACAAGTTTACAACATTTTCCAGGGGAAGAACTCGCCTGCTTCTTCTTACAGTGTTAAGTATCTGGCACAGAATTATTTACTTTTAAGAATTAAAAATAATTGAAGATTTTCTCTCAACTATGATCTAACTTTTCAGTGATAAACTGGTTTTTATAATTGAAGTTTTTAGAACTGGATTTCTAAAAACTATACATTTTCCACTGTGAATTGCAATGTTTATATAACTGGAGAACTAAGAGAAACTCACTGTTATGAAAATGTTCTAATCATATTTTGGGGGGAAAATTGGAAGATACAGGGTTGCATTTTCCTCAGCTTTGCTATCTTTGAAATGGAGCTACCGTGATTTGATGCTCAGAGGGTCTGTGATGCTCAGAGAATCCAGACAATACATTTCACGTTGAAGAACCTGAGCACCCTGAGATCAGAAGTGTTACGAAGGTACAAATATTAGGATTGTTTAAAATGTTAACTGTGTCATCTCATTACAAAAGGAAATCTTGTTTTAGTCAGAATCCCTGGGGGTATGGATGGTATTTCTCTTTTAAAACTATTAAACAAGCGAAAAGCTGACAGTACCGTAAGCACGGTTTGAGCTATCAGGCACGATTTTAGTGGAAGATTTCCCCTCTGTTCTAGGATGCGTAACTGTTAAGAACAATTATTCCCTGCTGTGGCCCAAGTTGTGTCAATATGACGATTCATTTGGGAGATTTGTAAATCATTAGAAAAGGTTTACAGTATTATATCCCCCTAAGGACCACAACATGCTATGTCGCCATGGTGATTTACGACTCCCTCTCAATTTCCTTGGGATAAACCATGTGCAGTTTAACATCCTATCTTCAAATTAACCAGAATTACTATCTCTACATGACCCATTTGCAACACAGAGAGGGGTAGATTCGGAGGTTAAATCACAGAGGCATGTGAGGGCAGGATGTGTGTTCATAGTAACAATTAAGATAATAAAATTAGAGTTTTAAGGAAAGCCAACTCAATTCATAAAAGAGGCATGATAGCATGAACTTTGTCATTATAATTTATTAAAACTGGCATCCGTTCAACAAATATTTTTGTTGACTATTTTGTGCACAGTTTCTCAGGTGTAACAGGAAACAATGATATCTAAGATATGGCCTCTATCCTCAAAATATGTAAACTAAAACTCTTTATGAATTTCTCCTATTCTCTCTTTTTGGCTCCATCAAGCCAGAGTCAAAAATAAACAAAACTAATAAACATACAAGAAGTCTCTCTGTGCCTTCTTCCCGGACTTTCTCTTGGAGCAGAGTAATGTTACTCACCTAACAGCTAGTAAACCCCATTTTATACCAGACAGCCAACTGCAATCACTACATTTTAAATATACTTCAAAAGCCAAAAGAAGTGGAGAGTCAGCTTAAGTCTCCCTGGGAAAACCCTGGTGCTGCTGACAGCGTTAATGTCTTCAAGAAGAGATCTTGCAAACCTTTCTCTGTTTCTACTTAGATTTTTTTTTTTTTTTAATTTTCCCTTTTTCTCCCCAAAGCCCCCCTGGTACATAGTTGTGTATTTTCAGTTGTGGGTCCTTCTAGTTGTGGCATGTGGGATGCCGCCTCAGTGTGGCCTGATGAGCGGTGCCATGTCCACACCCAGGATTCGAACGAGTGAACCCTGGCCCCGCAGCGGAGAATGAGAACTTAACCACTTGGCCATGGGGCCAGCCCCTCTCTGTTTCTACTTAGGAGGGGAGTTGTTTCTCCTTCAACCTCCCTGCAAACTGTGGATATTTAAACTGTCTACTGTTATGCCTACTGAATCCCTATTTAACCTCTAAGGTGTGACTCCTTCCCAAAGATGAGCCCTGGTCAGTCCCACCATTCTCTAAGTCCTCCTAGCCCTTCCTGCTGACTCACCTGTAGTTCTCGACGACAGTGCATCCTGTGATGTGGATACATCCTTATCTCCAGAGCAACAATACAAATTGCATGAAGACCATATCCCATCTTGTTCATCCTCGCATTGTCAGAGTTTAGAAAAGCACTTGGCATTTGTGAGGTGCTTGAGTTAAATGACGGGCCTGGGAGCTCTTTTCAATTGTTTTAAATTCTTTTACCTGACGGAGTGAGGGGCTTACTCTGCATAGCTCCAGAATCAGAATAGAGTCCTGCCAGTAGAAGCCTGCAGAGGCCATGTTGGAATGAACAAAAGAAATAGCTGTCAATAGACAGAAATCACCAATAACTGGAAAGGAGGCTGATGCTGGATGTATTTAAGCAGAAAATGAATAATAACTTGGGGGCAATGGTATACAGGGAAAAGCAAAACTCAGATTGGTTTGTACTACATGGACTTTATTTTGTCTCATTTTGGCGTATTTTTCACACATGTAGCAAGCATGCAGTCATTAGTTTTTTGTTTTATTTTTAAATAAATGAACAACGAACCTGCTTTAAGTGTGACAGGGAAAGGCATAAGGAGACCGTGATCTTTGATAATACCAGTTTCCATTGTTGATTCTTTCTACTTCACATTCTACTTCTCTGGTCCGCTGTCCAGGTTCGAACCAAGCACAATGTGTGTGTTCTTGGCTCATGTTCCTGGATCCTTGTGATCCAAATCCTTAGCTTGGATCCAGCTCTTCAGGTTACCAGACGGGGCTCACGTCTCCTTGTTATGTTTTGAACATCTAGGTCTTCAGCATCTGCTTCTTTCCTCTTCTCTCCCACCTTTTCTGATTTGACAACACAACCATCTGCCACTCTCCTCTCTTTTTCTTCCACATCACTCCAATCCCCAGCCCAAAACCACTTCTCCCCTGCAGCCCAAGACTCAGCATGCTACAGTCAAACGTTTTTGGCAGAGAACACTGTGAAAAAAGCTTTGGCTCAGTTCACTCAGATTGTGGGAAAGGGAGAGACTAGGGCATCAGTTACCGAACTGACTCAATTTTGGAAACTATGCAAGCAGCGGTAACAGAAACACACTCTCCATGGCTTTCCACTACCATAGTCATAATCATCATGTCTATTTTTCCAGCTTTTGGTCCAGCAACCATGGCAGGCAGAGGCAGGGGAGGTTGCTTTGATTTTTTTTTTTAAATTGTAAAAGAAATTATTCACTACAGGTGTTTGCATACACCTGTCAAAAGGTTCCACTCAGACACTCAAAGCTTCGCCATCTGAACTCAGAATGCAGAACAAGCCATGTCGAGGACAGAAATCAGTACTGTATAACAATGCCCAGATCATGGGTCAGACAGGTGGGACGGCGAGATGACAGCAGTGCGAGTGGCCCCTCATCACCCTGTGTTTGCAGGGTCACCCATAAATGTAATTAAGGGGCTGTGCTGGTGTGCCTCTGGTCTCAAGGTTAATTAACCACAGGAAAATGACACCTTCAGGTGTCCTGTATCATAACAGCATTGGCAGAAAGAAGCATGATTTTAAATTGACAGCACTGACACCACCAGACAGCAGAGTTGAAACCAGCAGAGGTGAAAACAAAGACTGACATAGGTTGCTGCACTGCTGACAAGATGGAAAAAGGACACATTCTTCCTGCCTTGGGTAGAAATAACACTGAAACCAAGACAAACTCAGCCATGATGCTCACTGCTGAGTGTGAGCACCATCCATGATGAAGTGCATGTGGAAAGCTTTATCATCTGTGCCCTGTGCCCCCTCCGTTCCATCCCACTAAAGCCTGGCATTCCCAAACCCTGCACCCCCGATGCCAACACACACACCACTCACACACACACAACACACACACAAACACACACTTACACACTCCCTCCCTCCTTCCTAAGATTCTCCAACTCTTTCCCAGAGAAGTCCAGCCTAGAGGGGTGTATAAAGCCCCCGACTCTCCCTGAATGCTGAGACCTTCCAGCAGGCCCCCACCTTCTCGAAGCCCCTCGCCTTCTGGTAGCCCCTTACCTTCTTGGAGGTTTATTTTCTTCCCACTTAACGGACCTTTTTATTCTGTATCTTTTCTTTTCCAGTTTTCAAGCTATGTCCAGACTGGTCTGCACGGGGATCTGGCATCTCCACATGACCTGAAAGAGAGAAACTTAGTGAGAAAGAGTGGTTGGCCCTCAACATCAAAGATCCTTGGGTTTCTCACCAGGTGTTTTGGCCTGCCTATGGAACTGGGCCTCTGCTACCTGGTCAGATGTGTGTCTGGGGGCAGGAGGAGTATTTTTTCCCTCTGGTGAGTGGCACCCAACCAACCAGCATGGCCCCCGGCTCAGGTCTCTATGAGCACTGAATGCAGTGCGCTCAGCTCTCTCTTCAACCAAATCCCCTCTGCTATCAATTTGTAAACAACTCAGCTCTGCCTGCATAATATGTGAGCAGGCGATGCCAGCCCCACACTGTGCCCTTCCCTGCTCCCAGCCAAGTGCACCTGCTGCCCAGGGCTCTGGCTGCTGCTGCTGCTACTGCTGTTATTATGCTCTGCCATCGCCTGCCCTGCTGCTTGCTGGGCTGGAGGCACATCTTCGGTGTGGGGAGGAATGTTTATTAGTTTTAATTGGTGGACACGGCTGGACAGTGACATTTGAGGAGTATTGTGTGTCATTCACCCTGCACCAGGTGCTGGCTGCGACGGCAGATGTAGGTGGATCAGCTCAGAATACACCCTACAGATTACTGCCTTTCCAGAAAAATGCAGCTGCTCTGCCTCTCCCCTACCTATGGGAATGCAAACTCTCCCCTTTCTTTTTACCACCTCTAGTGTTTTCCTAAGTGAAAAGGTTTTCTTTATTCTGAAATACAATGGTCTCATTCAAAAAAGAAAAAAAACAAATGCCCATCCTCTCTCCAAAAGCCATAAATATATAGCCTATGAATACAAGTACTTTTCTTTGTGTGTCACCCAAACATTTCCCTGAATTTACTGTTAATATTCTATATGTTGCAAGAATTCATATATTTCCCAGGTAATATCCTGAATATCAACTTAGCAAATCTTTTTATACACAAGTAAAATGTTTTATATCAGATTCTACTCCTACTCAACCCTATAACTAAACTATTGCTACTAAAATGCCTCAAAGCTGTATGCTTTTCAATCCAACAGATTTAGTTTTTATATGTTTAGCTACTCTTCCACATTATGTGGCCTCACTGCTCCATTTCCAAGAGGGGTCAAGCAATAATACCCAGGCCGAGTCATAGGGAAGCCCCAGCGGTCCTCCAGCAGCAGTGGCTATGTGAGTTGCCCTTTGATGCACTAGTTCTGGACAATGGTACAAAATCACACACACACAGAGCCTAACCTCGGCAAACAGTCCTTTTCTAAGGATTCCTTCCTCTACTTCAGCCCATCAGCAAAGTCTTGCCTTCACCAAACCCTCAGAAGCCAAGAACTTGGCTTGGCGTTGTTGCTTTATGCTTTAATAATGGTGGTGTTTGTCACATATAGCTTCTGCTTGTTTATACATTTATACCAGCCTCAGCTGCTGCGGGAAGGATCTGAGAGCATACTTCGTGGCTTCCGAAGCGCAGAGGCAGGAACTGTAAAACACTTCTGCCACCTAGTGGCGCAGCAAAAGTTGCACTGTCTGGAAAATCTAAGTATGTCTACAGGGCCGCAAATATCAACTTGTTAAACTTTGGCTTCAGTTTAAAAGGAGACAATTAAAATATATACCCCATGTCCTCAAGTGAAGTAATTAAAAGTGAACTAAAAGTAATGTTTTAATGATGCCGGATCTTTAAACAGTAAATGGCTAAATAAAATGTCCTATGCTGGTAACTATAGCGTTCCCAGTTGTTGATTTATAAAAGAAAGTGACCCAAGCAAATAAAATCATTACATGGAATATCTTCTCCAGATTTTCAGCGATTTTTTCTGTTTTTTTCTTTTTTGGGTTTTTTTTTAACCATCTTTTGTTTAGCTATATGCTTTTATAAGTGGAAAGGAGATTTTCATTAGCCTTGAAAAACATACAGCTCATGTCATAGCGTAGAGTATATACAGCCATAGAAGGTACCACTCATCTTAAAACACTGGAAAAGAGGGAGAATTCAGGATCTATGTCACTCACGCACTATCATACTGTAATTATTGAATCCTATCTTCACATGGTTTTAAACAACACATAATACATAAATACTGTGAAACAAACCAATTATTAAGTCATTTCCAAATCACTACTGAGTGGGTCTCTGCCCTGTTTTCATACAAGTAAGTGTGATGTGTAATGGACTCGTTCTATACATAATGGGGAGTTCATTCCTCTTCAAAAGACAACAGAGGAAGAATGAGTACTCTGAGAGGATCTTAGGAAAATAGTCTAAACAGCAGATGGTATGGCTCCTTATGGATGCTCAGCGTTCAACAGTGAGAGATTTAGATAATGCTAAAGGTGTAGAAATTGCAGAATCAAGTATTTCTCCCCTCTAAAAATGTAAAATAAGAAAACAAAACTTATGCATAATTTATGGATGCCCCAGGATAATCTTAAATTATGCAATCCACATATCCGTGAAAAGTTGCTTAATGTATTCCTTAGTTACTTCATGACACTGAATGCCCTCCGCCCCCTTCACCCCCCCCCCCCCCCCCCCCCCCCCCCCCCCCCCCCCCGGGCAATACACATATGCACGTTATTTCTTAGACAAGTCAGTTAGAGACGCATGTCTGTATCCACCAAAGACTAACACTCATTTCTAAAGCAAATATACCAGTGAGCAGGGAAGCACAAAGGCATTTTGCTAAAGAAACGCTTCTTTTATCAACTCAGTGGTCTTCCCTTCTTAAAAAGCTTCTCGAACGTGCATAATGGGATTAAAGGCTCTCTCAATAAAGTTCATTACCTTAATGGTCCTTCCCATCTTCCTGTGAAATTAACTGTATCTCCTATATGTACCTCTACTTAAGGTAGCAATTTAATGGCAATAACATCCATATCTAAGAGAGTTATTTTTCCCTTGGATCTTAACACTTAGAGATCTCTTCGTGTTGTTCAGAATAAAAACCAGAAACACCGTTTTCCTCCCGTTTTAGGGAAACGATGGAGAAAATGACAAAGGAGAAAAATAAAAGATTTTCAAAGCAATAATCCTAGAAAATAGTAATGTCACAAATAAATACTTTAAAATGAGTGTTCAAAAACAAAAAAGAAAAAAAGAGTCTTCACTGGGGGAGTAAGATGAACAAACTATGGATATATTTCATTTGCATAAAATAATCTCTAAAATATTTATTTAGTCTTTCATCTTATACTGTTCTCATCTCCTCCTTTCTGCCATCCCTCCTCCAGCCATATACAATCTTGCCCTGTCTCTTTATTTTGGCAAATCATGCTCACTTCCTCTATTTTCATACACATTCAAGGTAGGTATTCTTAAGCTGAGTTAGAGAGGGGCTGTGTCATAATGTTAATTTTTGGGCAGAGCTCTGATTTTTTTTCACTTTTTCTACTGCCTCACACTTGACTCAGGAGCCTCTACCCAGCGCTAAGTCCCAATTTGCCTAAACTAATCATTATTGTCTTATATTAATTAGTTAAGAGTGGGCATGTGACCCAGGTCTTCCCAATATCATGGCAGGCGTGCTGAGGAAGGGGAGTAGGCTGTCCTACAATGACAACACTGGGAACAGAGACTTCCTTTGAACCTCTGGATGTGGCTCTTTTTTAAAGTATCTCTTGAAACTGTCACATCCATCTTATATTTCTGAAGGAAAGCAGCCTTTAGGACGATTGAAGAGGATGAATGGAATTTGAGTCTGTGACCTTTAAATAAAAATTAGTGTACTTTGTCCGAATGGATCCTAACCTATGCCTTTGCCCAATAACGTGCAGCTGAAAGGACTACAGAGGGCTCCAGAATATATTACCTTTCAATACTGGCTAATTCTAAAACCTTTACTTTTTCTACTTTACTACTCAAAATTATTCTAACTATCCTAATTATCCATTCTTTCCTCTTTCACATACAGTTATCTATTGAATCCTATAGATTTTACTTTCTAAATATCTCTTGAATCCATCTTTTCTAATCTAGTCTACATTCACTATTTTAGTTCACACCCTCATAGTTTTTCTCTTGTAGTCTTGCTACAGCCTCATAACTCCTCTATTTCAAATAAATCCTTCACTGAGCCCCTAATAGGACCCTGTAGATTTCAAATACAATAGGTCCCTTTCCATGCTTAAATGCATCCCCAAATGTCCCTCCTCATTCAAGTTCAAAGCAAAACCCTTTGTGTGATCAAAAGGCACTTCTTCTTGACCCATCCTTGAAAAATCGCTTTTCTCATCTTTCTCGTCTTTATCCTCTATCGTCCAGCCATACAGAAATCATTATACATCTCAAATTTGGTTATTGCCCACCTATGGGCCTTTGCACTTTGGTTCCTTCTGCCTGTGATGCCCTCCTGCATCAATCAACCCCAACCCTGGTTTACTCCAGCTGGTTGCTTTGTAATCAAGTATCTTGAGAAGCCACCTCTCTCATCCTAACTTGTGCTTTGGTTTTGTGTCCTTCCTCCTCTCCCCATTTCACCTATACTTGCCTCTTATAGAGTGCCAAGCACACTACTCTGTCATTTTTGGTTTGTGAATTTGCTCCACTAGCATATGAGCTCTTCCAGGATATGGAACATAACTTGACCAACACTTCAAACCACATCTGGCATAGAAAAGCTCTCAATAAATGATTTTTGATAAATGACACTATCTAATAGCCTTCCAACTTAAAAAATGCTAATTCTAAAAGGCACAGAGCTAGTTAGTGGTACAAAGGCAAGTAGAACTGAGAGCTCTTGATTCCCAGTCCTGTTATCTTTCTATTACAATATACTGTTTCAGATTTAGTTTACTCTGGACCCTAGTGGTTAAAACTCAGAACTGTCATTTAAGACAAATGGCTTCTTCCAAGGGCTTTACCAGAGCCTTATAGATAGAAGTGCCTGAAGCAGCTCTTTTAACCTTCCTATCATCCTCTCTCTTATTTACAAAACAGGGGCAACAGTATTGCTCATCTCTTTTTGCTAAGGAATGATTAATGTAGGGGCTAGTAAAACCAATATCCATGGAAATGATTA